AAGTCTAATAACCCAACAAAACTTGACTGAAAAACATTGGCAAAGGAACCATGACTTCTCAAAACTGATTTGCACAAAAGTATTTTCATTCATGGTTAATGGTTAAAAATCTGATCCATTTGTGTCAATCACACCAGGAACTCCATTTATGTTAATCACACCAGGAACTGCCTGAAGATCCTGACATTTTGAGACTGAATCCATAACTTACAATTTCATCTGTAGGGGCCGCATAAGGAGTCAGATTTTCAAGTTCTAGCTCAGCAGCAGCTAGATCCTTTTTTGCCTTTGAGATCCTTTGTTGACGAGATTCTTCTTGCTTCTTCAATTCTTCCATTTCGTTGTATTTTTCTTTTATTAACACTCCCTATAAACATGTGGATGAAATTGAAGCACAATAAAAATTCAATTTTCCACACTACAAACTAGAGAAGGGCTAAAATTACATTAAGCAAATAAAGTACCACGTTATCATACCAAGCGGTTCACATTTTCCAAAAGTCTCATTCGTTTGTTTGCATTTTCACTAATGTTTTTTACTACTTTTGTACTCTTCGACTCCATCACCACTCTCTCTTGTTTTTGTTTTCTGCAGCAGGTAGAACATTATTACACTAGAAAGTAAAATACAAGCAAGTCATTGCAATAAACAGACTGTATATCTCATGTCAATATATTGTGTATGAATAAATCAACCAAATGAAGTGATCATACTCAATAGGTTCTTTCAGTTGATTTAGAGTTCTTGCTGCTTTCTCCAACTTCTTTTTTGCATCCTTTTCCTGCTCCATAGCTTCCATGCATTCAGCCTTCTTCATATCATACTTCAGCCATGGCAATTTTTTTTTCATGGTATCAGCCTGTAGATGACATCAAGACAAAATCTCAGTTCCAATTTAATTATGTGGGAAGCAGAACAGCGTTTCCTCTTTGGGGGATGAGGAGGGGATTATCGAGTCAGATGGAGTTCCTTTTTTTTTTACTATCTTGAGAACTATAAGGGAGATGGGATGAGGATTTATGGGATAAAGTCGAATTCTCATTGTCGCCATTATGGGCTTCAGTTTCACCTGCATTTGGGGATCTAGCTTTCCTTCCTATGGTCTGATGAACCACATTTATCTTTCAGTGTTTTCCTTCAGATGTTTTGGTTTGTGAGGTTCTGTGCTATTTTGTGGATGGTGAATCTGATTGTATTTGAGTTATGTACTAGCGCTCAATGGATATCTTGTCCACTTCATTGTGTGTGTGTGTGTTATAAAAATCTTTACTAAGAGTTTGTATCTTATCATAAAAATACACTGGCATTCAGTTCATATAACAAAACCAAAAAGACAAACCTTTGCGAGAAGTTCCTCTCTTTGGCGGACACGCTCAACATCTTTCTCTTGTTCAGCATTCAGTGCCTTCAACTGATTCAAAGTTTCTCCATTTTTTTCAACGGCCTAAATCAAAAAGACAAAATGTCTAAATAACGTGATAAAGCTAATTAGCATTGTATAACATAAGGACAAATTAAAAACCCACTTGTTCAATTCTTTTCAATTTCTTGCTTTGCTCAATAAGTGCACGATGTTGGATCGGCAATTGAGGATCTCCTACAGCCTTTTCAGTCTCTTCTAGAAGTTGCACTGGAGTTAATTTGGCGAACTCACAGACACGATCTTGTGGTAAAAACTACAAGCACACCCCCAAAAATAAAAAGGAGAAAATTGATAAAAAAAATTATTAAAAAAAAAAAAAAAGAAAAGAAAGAGAGGAAATTACTGACCAAAACTCATAATTTAGCTACAAAATTGTTAGCAACAGTTTCAAATAGTATCATAAAAATGAGTTAAAACTGAAATATCTTAGAGGGAGACAAATAACAGGAAATCAAATAAATAATGCCATATACATGCATTAATACACTCGCAGTAAACAACTTGACAACTAGATTGTTATTATATGTGCATCCCCAGACAACCTTTACTACAACATATAATTTACCCATTCTTCTCAACATTAGTTCATTCAGAAGAATTTGGAATGAATAGGAATGATCAATTAAGATGAAAGACAAAAGCAGACCACTAGATAAACCATTATTTAGCACATGCTCTAATCAAAATAAAAAAGGAGTGGCATTTCAAACAGGATCATGCAACAAAGGATCTCAATTTTACTAGCACAGCAAGTACAAACAATGGAATGCAGAAGAAGTGAAATATAAAGGTCACTTCCAATAATTTGCTGCCTATAAAAAGACTGAATCAATGCACCGCTATATGAGCAAACACTCCTCATCTTTCTCAACTTTAAGAAAATACTTCGCATCCTTCCTATAATTTTAAAGACCAAGGTGCCAAATACAAAAAAATAAAGCATCAACTTTGTGAGGATATTAAGTAACAGTTTCTACAATCTATTGCACTCCTTACTAAGTAAATTTTCTGTCTGTACATATACTCTGAAACTGTACAGCACCAAGTTTGTAAAAGTACTGCCTATTCTATGCAAGTATAACCTTCAAAATGTTGTCTTCTACTAAAAACTAAAAAACAACAAAGAATACTGATTAAGCTTATAAATTCAACAGTCATAAAATTCAATTACAAGGTCCAGATATTCAAAAGGAATATTAATAAACAAAAACATGTGCATGCATATCAAAAGTCATATTGCATCCACATATAAAAGCAACAGAATTAAGGCATGCCCTGATCTGATGTTAATTATTAGAAACAAACTCACTTGAGTTAAATTGTTGACTTGAACATTAAACCTTTGAGTGATTTCAACCACATCCTTTTTAGGCACCGCTCTTCCTGAAATACAAAGACAACTGATAAATCAGTATTTGAGATTACTCTTGTGCCTTCACAATAAACCGTCTTAATTTGGAAAGTAGTTTATTTCCCTTGATAATGCATGATAGTGAATCAAAACATATCATCCACTTTTCCCACTGTCTTGCAGACTTGTAATTAAAAGTTAAAACTGACACAATTTGAAAAGAAAACAAGCTTGTACACAAGTACCGCACTTCTGCTGAATGAAGACAAGAATAAATGCAAAATAGGAGCTACATGCATTGAAGCACAATTCTTGGAATGGAAATTAATGCATAAGATGATTTTCAGAAACTACTATAACCCAAGTGAGAGCATGTAGGTTAAACATCCTCCGTTATCTGGGAAAATGTCAGTTAAACATGATACTTTAAGGGGCTACTAACAAGTATACAAACACTTCTCTTAATGGCTATAAGCCACCTCAAGCTATTGCCTAAAGATCACTGTTTGTTGGTCCATAATATATTCAAGAGAAATGATAAAATAATTAACTCTTTACACATGCAAAACTACTTACCATTGTATAACCATTCAGACTTGTTACGTGTATCAATCTTACGCATAATTTCAATATGCTCCTCTTCGGTGTCCCCTCTCAAGGTTATTTTAATATAACCGGACGCTTCACCACGCTTCACATATGCTCCAACACTGGTCGCCCTTCCAAGTAGCTGTAGTTACCAAACTCCTCTTCTTTATATATTGTTTACCAAAAACAAACTTAAGAAATGCAACAAAACACGTTCCCTGATATTAACTAACCTGAGGCTCACCACCAAGACCCAGTGCTATTGCACATACGAGAGAACTCTTTCCAGCCCCATTTGGTGCAATTACAAGGTTTAGACGAGGGGCCGGTTTGCACGTTATGTGACCAAAGGTCATAAAATTATGGAGCTCAATCTTAGTTATGCTTCCCAGCTTATAGTCATCTTCACCCCTGAAAGAAAGAGATGATAAGCATTAAACCTTGACATCAATGCTGAACTAATCAAAACAACAAAAAGGAAATAAATTTCACTTTCTCATGTTCTGTATACCAGAAAATTTTGAATAGTATCTTCTTGATTTTAACACTACGAAGTCAGTTCAAGATAGCTAAATACATATCTTGTTGCTTCAGCATTGACTCAGAGTTTCTATAGGTCCCAAATAACAAAATTTTAGATCTTTACCACTGTACTACTACTACATTTAGAAAAAAAATAAAAATAAAAATAAAATTGTGTTAAGCAGAATAAGGTTTCACGGTGAATTCCATAATCCTCAGTTTAATTTCGTAACATAATAATGGAAGACAAAAGAAAAGGTTAAACATTTCATTTAATAATAATTAATAAAGCAAAAAATTAACTCAAAAAAATAAAGCAAAAAATAAACACAAAGACATTAAATTTTCTGGGTAACCAAACAGACAGTAAGAAAAAATGCAATTAGAATGAAAAAAAAAAAAAAAACCTAATTCTGACGAACTGGGTACCAGAAAACATGAAAAGAACTTCATTCAATTTCAATTTCCAAAGTGGAGTGAAACGAGTCTCCGGACCTTGTAATTTTGGGGCGCTTTGCGCGACTCTCCGCCATTCTTGAACTTTGCAGTGCTACTTTCTGATTCTTCGAGGAATTGGGGGTTTTGTGGTCAATCAGTGAAACCCTAGGTGGTGATCGATTTGGGTCGGGGAAGTAAGTAAAAACCTAGGGCTTTGGGAAGGGAAAGAGAGAAGAATTGGCGCCAAAAGAGAAAAAGTGGGGTATGTGTTTTATAGGCCGCAGCAATTGGAGAGAAATGTAATTTTATTTCATTTAAAAAAAATAAAAAATAAAAACATTAAGTGACTTCGTTACGACATCATACTATTTTTTGAGTCTGAAAAAATTGACAGATGCATTTAGTCTTTTTTTACCATTATCATCATTGTATGATTCATCAACGTTAAAAATTAAACATAAAACATAATATACGAAATATGTGAAATATTATTATTTTTGACTATTTGAATTGATAAAAATCAAATAAAAGAAATAAACTTAGACAAAATTTGAATCGATGATCGAGATTGAATTCAATGACATCCACATATAGCTAAAATTAATCACCGAATTCTTTATTCCTCTCCGTCGGACCAACATGGCAAAACACACAAATATCTCCCCCGAAAGAGGGAATGAGATCCTCACCGAATCTCTACTTCTAATCCATTAAGTTCGAAGAACCAAATCTTTAAAATTTGATACATTATAATTTTTAAATAAACCTGTTTGTAACGGATAGATTAAATTTTAACGCGCAGCTCCAGAAAATCCCAGAAAGAAAATCCATGACTCACACTTCGACTCGACTCTGTATTATACTGTATAATCTGTATGGCCATCACCGGCAGCATATGTTCATCACCAAACCAACATCCAACTCTCCCAACACTTCCACTCCCACCAATCCCACCACTCAAAACCCACCACCCTCTCCAACTCCACTTCCCTCCTCCCTCTTCCTCCTCCAAATTTGGCGCCAACTGGGTCTCCAATGACGCATTGGTCATTGCAGCCACGGCCGAGGCGCTGGCACTGGCCCGGGCTGCCGTGGTGGCGGCCAGAGATGCTGCAGCGGTGAGGGATGAGATTGTGGAGGCTTGGAGTTGTAGGGAGAGTGGGAATGGGAGTGGTGGGTTGGTGGTGAGGAGGAAGAGGAGGAGGAAAAGGAGAAAAGGGTTGGAGGGTTTGGATGAGGAGAGGGGGAGGGGTGTTGGAGATGGAAAGTTGTCGTTTGGGTTTGTGAGATGTGGGCATCTGAACCCAAAAGAAGAAGCTGAACGCTGTCTCAGTCTCAAGGTACTAATTTTCCTTGGTTCTTTTATGGCAAATTTGTACTGGTAAGTTTTATACAAAAACCCAACAACGCTAAGTTTTATACAAAAATGCTTATGCTATGTTTCGAGATGGAATTTGCAAGTACTTGGATGTAGGTTAAATTGGTTTAAAATGCACTGCAGAAGATTTGGTTTGAGATGAGTAAATACGGTACTTTTAAAGGGAATGCATATGACTACTTGAAAGGAGTCGTCATTTGTGAATCATCACGTACCGCATTTCAAATCCCTTCATCTAATGTTTTGTGATTCATTTGTATCTAATTTACTTGAAAGTTTGGTACTTGTAAATTCCTCATCATTCAAATGTAGCCTACAACGCGCCCAATTAAAGAAAAAGCCCTTTGTGTTAGCCATCTGCCATGTTCGAACTGATTCTTACTGCACGAACTTCCTTTAGTGTCTCTGCTGTTGAAAAGTAGTGTGTTTTTGAAGTATAGACTTGAAGTGTGTTTCTCTAAGGTGTAAAGTTGTTATGCGCTTACATGTGAAAAGCCTAACTGCCATTTAGTTTCTCTACGGTGTTATTTATGGGTGTTCTTCTGTTTCTCGATTTAGACTACTGCATATTGTTATGAATCATTGGTTGCTCCAATTTGAGTTTGGAGAATGGTTGGTTGGGTTCAATATTTGAGATAGAGATGGTTTAGTTGCTCGCCTTTCTTGCATGGGTTACATTTTGTAAATTCGTTTACTTGCTCGCCTTTCTTGCATCTCATCTTCCTATTGCAAGCAATTCTCATCTCATAGGTAATCGTAGAACCGAACATTTAACTTCTAATGCTAGATGACACCACATGTTTCTTAAACTGTACAGTTAAACGTTGTATATGATGATCACTACAGTAAGCATCATTCATGTCCTCTAGTTTTAATTTTCGTCGAATCTGCTGCTCCTTGTAAATGATGCGACAGATATGATTCAACTGATGGCTTTTGCATAAACCTTAAAAGTTGTTTAAGTCTGCTCATCTGTATTTATACTTTGGTTCGCAGTTTTTTTTTTTTTGTGTTCAATTGCAGTTACTAGGAACAGCTTTAATTAGAACTGTGTTTTGTTTTAGAACAGTTCTCAAACTACTTGTTTGTAGAGTTTTCTAATGCCGAAAAGTTAACTTTAGCTCTCCATCTATGAATGGCCTTTAATGACACAGGAGGGAGCAAGATTAGAATCACGAAGATTAAGAGTCATAGAAGCTGAAGAGCAGGAGCCGACCTCAAAGCAGTTAGCCAAGGCAATGGGAATGAAGACGAAAGTATAGATAAGGTGCTTTGTAAGAGAAGAGAGTCACAAGAAAGGATCATCAGGAGAAGGTAAGAAGCAATGATGCTCTGCAAGTTGCAAGAGTCCAATTGCACTTTTGCTGTTCATCTATCAAAACATACACTCAACCTGGTATCGACATTATTTATGCAAAACCCTTGCGAAATCAATTCTTCAAAGTTATGGATCAAGTTATACAATTGTACTGCAGCGGTCATCGTCTAAGACTGGGGAATATCACCTTAAGTTCCGCTAAGACCTTTTTTAATTTTGGATAAATTGTTGCAAAATAAGTCTACCTCGAGGTTCATCGTGCATGAAATAACAGTAAGAATTAGGAATTGTTATTTGATCTCCATAAGTTGCATGCATCAAACATGGAGGGTTTGGCCAGTGATGGAAGTCGATATCAAAATAGTGAAACTTTGATTTCAATTTGAAAGACGTATATTCACTTGAAGGTGTAAGCTAACATACACTATACGCTATACATAATGCGTTTGAATGAAAGCCTTATCCTTCCTTGTGCAGATTATGAAGGATGTACAAAGAAGCCGAAGACAGGAAAATACAGACAGAATAACTCAACAGATCCAAACCAGTGGTTATCTGTACCATCTTGCTCCTCTCAAACATCTTAACAAGAAGAATCATAACAATGACGTGTCCCACCTTCGTCTTCAGTTCATCAAGTGAGCAAATTTTCATCCATTTAGGCCTCTCCTGCAGAATCAGAATCCACGTATCTTGGTTTGAGAAATGTATATGTGAATTCCGCTTATACTTACTATGGAAGGGAAGCAAACTTACCTTCAGAGCAAACATTCCGAATAAAGAAGAGCCCTTAAGAGCACGATCATCAATGGAAGGCACGTCATGAGGGACATTACTGATAAATAATCCATACAGTCCCATACCAAATATTAGCATGACAGTCCCAGCAAGGTAAACATCTGCATCGGAAGATTTGCATCAACATATAAGACTATACCAATGAAAATAAACATAGAAATATGGGCATCATACGATGAGTTTTACCATGTTAAGAAAGGAGTGACTAATGCTGCTTATGCAGAAGTCACAATATTTATCTTTTGAAAGCATATTCGATAAACAGAAACATAAAGCAATTCTAGAAATAGGATTCTGAAAATAATACCGATAGCTTCAACAAGTCGTAGAACCATATGTCCAGTGTGATACCCTTTGACACAACTAGTCCAGTAAACTTTATACGCATCCATTATATAAACACAACCCTGCAGATTCGAATGTAGTATATGTACAGAGTAGTCATACATTATGTGTAGTAATATAAAAATTGTAGTCAGACATTTTCGTGGTAGGAATATACAATATGAAGAGAGAAATTACATTGAGAAAAGCACAACAACGAACCAGCCAACGAACCTCCAACAGCAAAGAGTGCCAAAAACCGGAAGTCGAATATTGTCTGTTCAACAATGGACACGTAAAGAACTGCTTAGAACAGATTGCTATACGCTAAAAAAAAAAAAATTAAACAGATAAAGAAAAAAAATTGCACAAGTTTCTCAACTATTACAGTTGGTACCTATAACAAAAAACCAAAAACAGAACATGAGGTAAATGACATATTGGTAGTTTCCTAGCCATATTTAGTTTCCCATAGGCTGTTTATACACGCTAGACCGCTTACAGTATTTGTTAACAATCATGATTCTTTTAAGCCTCAAGAGGGATTGCCTCCCAAGTTTTCGAACGAAACTACGAGTTCATTTGCTTCAGTAGGACTAACTTATTGATTCTTCTTATTTCTTAGCAGCAATCTGTTAAACACTAATCCGTCAATTATCGAAAAATTCACAACTAGGACCTCCAAGCTATCCAAACCCCTCCTCTGTTATTTTTCTTTTAATCAAAGTGAAAGAAATTCATTAGAGAGTACTTGAACCCCAACGTGACATCAAAAAATTAACACAAGCTATGGCGGAAAAAAGTCACATAATCGAAGACTGTAAACGAAATGGTATCAAACGGCCCCTAAATTAAGAAGAACCTCCTCTGCAACTACAAAAATGAGAGAAAGAAAGAGGAAAATTCACTCTTTTTGTCACATCCAAACTCCAAAAATCCCAATATAACAATTAAGAAGCAAGTACAGTGACTGATACACAAATTAAAAATTCAGTTACCCTTTCAATGGAAGACTCAGCGGCACGGGCAAACCGGACAAAGGGGTTGCCGTTGGCAAGGGCGTAGTTGAAGCCCGCCGGCTCGGGGGGTCTAGAGGACGCACCATTAAAATGGTTTGGTGAAGTTTCAGTGGAGGAGGAGACTACGGTTTGTTTTGGGGCCGTTGATTTTGATTCCGGAGACGGTGGGGAGCTCAGAGAAGAAGCAGCGATGGGACGAGAGAACCGTTTAGAGGTGTTCGACGGCCCGATGGGATGGATTGAGGCGGAGAGGCAGAGGGTTGAGGAGGATATCGAAGTGAAGAGAGCCATTGTGTAGAGAGAGAGAGAGAGAGAGAGAGAGAGAGAGAGAGAAGGGAGGAGTTTTGCAGGATGGAGATATTTTAGTTGGAGGGCTGAGAATTTTTTTGCGCCTTTGGATGGCGGGTAGTAACGGAATTTTGGGAGCGAAAGTGGCCTTCACGCGTGGAAAGGGAGCGTGGGACTTTTGGGCTAATGCTGGATGGAATGCGGAGGGAGAAGCGGATTTTTTGTCAATCACCAAAGTTGGAAGGGTGAGTTTGAGGAGAAATCGGTATACTTTTTATTTATTTAATTTTTTTCACAAATTGTATTATGACATTTAATGTATTAGGTCTTACATATCGAAAAATCTCTTAAGTTTGAGAGGCAACTGGGCAACGACATTAATAGTGACTAGGGTTATGAAAAGGAGGAGAGGGAACTGGAGTCGTCACCCATGTGCACTTCTCATCCTATTTTTAATGACAAAATAGGCTTTGCCCAAGATGCATTACTTGTTACTTCACCTTGTAATGTGCTTAAATTTGATCTCTTTTAGGATTTTTAGCTTGTTATGTCATATTTAGATGTAAATTGAAACGAATAATTATTTGTCGTGACACAATTGATGCTCATTTTTTGTTGGCTCTGGTCTAGTTGTTGGCATACCCTCAAGTAAATGACTAATTTTAATTGTGTAAGAGTTAAATATTTCATGCTTTAAGTGCATATCATTGTGTTTACTAGGATTTTTCCTTCAACAGCTTTGGTATCCGATTTCAAGGACCTTGGTTGAGGAAGCTGCTTGAAGTTTGCAAAAGAGAAACGGAATCGACATTGTTACAATAAATCCAGGACTAGTGATTGGTTCTCTCTTACAGTCAATTCTGAACACAAGCGTGGAACGTGTTCTGAAACTTGTAAACTCATTGATATATTGCATGATTTGATAAAGTAATCATTCCTACTGGAAAACGTATTTTGAGGGCAGGATCCACTACATAAGAGAAGCATAATACACAGATTACACTTTCTCGACTAAATCCTCATCAGTGCAGAACACTCCTCATAGAAATCTATAAAATTTCATGTGTTTAAAGATTTACTCTTTCCACTTGTGCATAAAGACGATCATAAATTAAAAGGTCATGATTGAATCTGCTAAGAAAGTCTCCTTGTTGATATTTAATTGATGCGCGAGCCGAAAGATTTCCAAATATAACTAATAGATGAGTTGATTTTAAAGATGTTGCCACTGCTCATATTTTCGCCTTTGAGAATGCTTCGGCTAGCGGGAGATACTGTCTAGTTGGAAGAGTAACACACTGTTCTGACGCAGTGAAAATTCTGCGGGATCTCTTCCATGTTCCCAAGCTTCCAGAGAAGTTGCTATATGCTAATACAATCGATTTGTTGCATGTTACTCTTTTCTAAGTTCTAGAGGGCACTTTTAAGGATGGAGCAGGTTTACAGGCATTATTGGTACCTTTCTATCTGAGGTTTTAAAATTTCCGTCTTGTATATTATTTGCAATATTCGCGTCTGAGGATATTTTGGGTTACTACTGGCATGCCAAGATCCTATTAATATATAACATCTTGATAAGCCGTTCTAGTATTTGAGAAACGCTTGTTTGGTATCCTATTTGAAATTTTTTATCATTTCTCATAACTTTTCTTAAGAACATTTCTTGAAAACAATTTTCTTTAAGACTAAAAAACTTGATTGGTTTGCGATTTAAAAATTTTATATCTTACGACTTAAACTAGACAAAGAGATCTAAAAAGATGGGGACGTTGGAGAGGGAGAAATAGGAGAGAGGAGGAAAGAAAGTAAGAGATGATTGAAAGAAAGGGAAAGAAGTGAGAGGATCGGACGAGATAGAGAGGAAGAGAAGTGAGAGAAAGAACCGAGAAAATGAAGAGAGTGGAAGAGAGAGAAAGAAGAAAAGAGAGACAGAGATATATTTGGAGAGAGAGGGGAGGAAGAAGAGAAAAGAAATGAGTGAGTTTAAGTTTAAAAACTCAGGAGTTGCTTAAGATCTTTGATGTATGGCTCATGTGTAATTAATAATGTTGCACAATAACTCTAAATGAAATACTTCAAGTTGAAATTGTCTTTACTGTCTTCAAAGAAATCCTAATTGAGGCACTCTTGATATATCTTGCAAATTAAGATTTCTTTCCCCAATATCGTCATTCTTCAATGTGTCTACGGCTGCAAACGTCAGGCGACAAGTGCCTATGTAACATGCCTTCGTACGAACGCACAGTCAATTCTTATGAACTTCCAGTGATGGCACAAAGTTGGTCCTAGCTAATGTTCAAATTGCCCTTAGTCACTCCCTATAAGGAAGGACACAGCAGATTTCTTTGACTAAATAAGCTAAATGTAGTTCAGGACCTTCAACTCACAAAAAGTCAAGCAGGAAAACATAGAACTGGAAGATCTTTTGAAATTGGTGATTTTGTGTATCTCCGGTTGGTACCTTACCAACAAAAGTCACTGGCTTTACATCCTTACCATAAACTGCATCCCCGGTTTTATGGACCCTTTGAGATTATTGCTAAGGTCGGACCTGTGGCTTACAAATTAAAGTTGCCACCTCATTCTAAGATTCACCCAGTTTTCCATGTTTCTTGTCTCAAGAAACAACTGGGCACGTCAGCCTCTACTACTTTGCCACTACCATCAATTCATGATGCGGGTTTGATTTAAGATGAACCAACAACTATCTTGGATCAAAGGGTAATTCAACGAGGTTCGACTCCAGTCACTGAAGTCTTGGTGCATTGGCAGAATCATCATGTTGCAGATACATCTTGGGAGAGTTTGGATGATTTGAAAGCACGATTTCCTGACTTCCAGCCTTGAGGACAAGGCTAATTTCAGGGGGTTTTTTTTTTGGTGTGTGGGGGGGGGGGGTTGGGTTAGTAAATGATAGGAATATGAGGGTAAAGGTTGTTGTATGACAATTGGGACAGTGCGAAGTGTCATCATATTAGTGAATAAAACTGTATTAGTTGTAAAGGTTGTGAGTCAGTTGTAATTGGTAAAGGTTGTTGGGGTTAGTTGCTATATAGCAGGAAGTGTAAGATACAATTGGATATGATGAAAATATTATTGTTCCTTCTTTTTCATATTCTCTCTCTACTTCTATGGCAGCTTAAGAGTCAAGGTCGATCAACGGTCTATCAGTAGCTCTCCTTTTTGGGCCTGTTTTTATTTTATATATTGCTTTGTTGTGTAGAGTTTTGTGTTTTGTTTAGGTTTAGGCCTTTCAAGCATAAATGGTATTCCCCTTTAATTAATGAAGTTTTATTCTTGACTAAAAATAAAAAATAAAAAATAAAGACAATTTTCCAAAATAAATAAATAAATAAGCTCATGAAGGCATGGAAAAACTGGCTTTTTGAATCATTTCTGATTAGGTGTTGAAATGTTTGCGAAGTGTTTGAATTTGAAATATCCTGCCCAACACATGTTTAGTCAACATTCAAAATAAACAATGACTTGCCATTTCTGAATGAGGATCCTTTTTGCATTGGCTTTACAAGGATCCTATGATCCTCATGGTCGTTTATTGTATATTATGCAATCAGTTTTTATTATATATTATTTATATTTAATTTTAAATAAAAAATTTAAAATAATTTTTAATCGCAGAATTTACAATAAACAGTTAAAATATAAAGATTCTTTAGGATTCTCATAATTTGAATTCTCAAGGGAATCAAATCCATTACAAAAGTATTCAGAGCTAAGGAAGACAAGTTGGCGACATTGACCTTTAATTTCCGGCTGATTTTTCACCATGAAAAACACAATTCTGAACCAAATTAAGCTTATTATTTCTTAGCTAGAGAGAGAGAGAGAGAGAGAGAGAGAGAGAGAGAGAGAGAGAGAGAGATGAGTACCGGAGAATCAAAGACTGTATGTGTAACAGGAGCTTCCGGTTACGTAGCATCATGGCTGGTGAAGCTCTTACTGCAAAAGGGTTATACCGTCAAAGCCACTGTTCGCGATCCAAGTCAGTATTTCTATATTTGCTCATATATAATGTTCAACTTCAAACAATTCATTCAATAATTTCAGATTCTGGGTTTTGCATATTATTTTGTTTACCAAAAGAAAAGTTGGGTATCCAAAATAATCATCATGCACACCTCGCCTTCTTACTTCCTTTTTTTTTTACCAACGACATCTCCCGTGCATCCAATTATTTTCTTTTTATTATTCTTGTTCATGTTTTTGTTTTGTCGTTGTTTGTGACTTTTCCTGCATCGTGTATTCTTAGTTGAACTCACTAGTTCTGTTTACAGATGATGCAAAGAAAACAGAACACTTGCTCTCATTAGATGGAGCAAAGGAGAGGCTTCATTTGTTCAAAGCGGATTTATTAGAGAAAGGATCATTTGACGCCGTAATTGATGGATGTGTAGGCGTTTTTCATACAGCATCGCCTGCACAATTTTCAGTCACTGACCCACAGGTCTGTCCCTTCACTTGATGCATACATCAAATAGTCTATCGTGTGTATGCGCTCGCAAATGCATAGAAAATCGATACACCTTCAAGAGAAATGATGTAGAAACTAGAATGATATTATTTCTTTTCCATATTTCAGGTAGAAATAATTGAGCCTGCAGTGAAGGGAACACTTAATGTTCTAAATTCATGCGCAAAATTCCCCGCTGTCAAGAGGGTGGTTATAACATCCTCTCTGGCTTCAGTAGGGTTGAGTGGAAAACCTCTGACCTCTGATGTGGTTATGGATGAAACATGGTACTCGGATCCACATTTTTGCGAGACGACCAAGGTACATGCCTTCCCATACTATTGAATAATTTTAGACAGAGGTAAGCTTAACACAATACAAAGTAGTACATGATGGACTACAAATTCATAAGAACTTCCTTCTTCATTTGTTCAGCAATGGTATCCTCTCTCAAAAACTTTAGCTGAGGAGGCCGCCTGGAAATTTGCCAAAGGAAATGGTATTGACTTGGTAACAATACATCCAGGGAATGCGATTGGTCCACCCTTACAGCCAACCCTTAATCTCTCCGTCGAGTTTCTTCTGAATTTAATGAGTGGTACAATTCACCCCCTTTATGTTAAAACACTATTCCTTGTGATACATCCAGGGTTTATTTGTTTTTGTTTCTCTTTTGTGCTCAGGTATCGAAACACCTTTTATAAACTATACATTTGTGGATGTTAGAGATGTTGCCTTTGCTCATATTCAAGCATTTGAAGTTCCTTCAGCTAGTGGTAGATATTGTTTAGTTGCACAAGTTGCTGATGGTCCCGATACTCTAAAGATTTTACGAGAGCTTTACCCCACATTGACCCTTCCTGAGCCTGGCAATCCTTCTGGCTCCAAGTTTCAAGTGTCCAAGGAGAAGGCAAAATGTTTGGGAATCACTTTCCTTCCTCTGGAAACAAGTCTCAAGGACACTGTTGAAAGCCTCATGGAGAAGGGCTTCCTCAAGTTTTGAATTCTGCAACCTGCAGCAACTTGTTAATTTAGTGCACGAGGCTATTGAATAAGTGGGAAATTAAGTTTGTTACATGCTTAAGTATTCCAAAGAGATGCTGGACATTATATTTCCAGTTAAATCTTTTAATGTAATCTGCAGAGAGCCTCAGAAGTGTCTTAAGAACATGCTTAGAAGTTGCTTTTGGATCTTTCATATATGGCTCATGTGTAATATGTAATGTTTCAAAATAACTCTAAGTAAAAAAGTTCCAAGTAGAAATTGTTTTACTTTACTGTCTTCAAAGAAATCGTAATTTGCAATTTCATCGTTCTTCAATGTGTCTGCCGTTGCAGACGTCAAGCCACAAGTGCCTATGAGACATGCCTTCGTACGAATGCCTGTCAATTCTTATAAACTTCGGGTGATGGCACAGAGCTGGTCCAAGCTAAATGTTCAAGCTGTCCTTACTCACTCTCTAGAAGGAAGGACGCAGCAGATTTCTCTGACTATATAAAGCTAGACGTCGTTCAAGGCCTTCAACTCTCGCAAAAATTGATAAGTGAATTTTCAGTTGAATTCATTTTTCTCAAAGCTTAAGAATGTACACTAGATCCAAACTAGGCAAATACGCCTCTAGTTTACTCTTTTGATGTGCTGTAGTATGATTACCAGTTGACGCATCTTCCAATTGTTCATCGTTCTAGCGGAAAACCACAACTTAAAAAGGTACAGATAGCTACCACTTTATTAGTGCCCCAATAGAGGGGAGTCTCTTGTACTTAGAGGTTGCTGCCAAAGCCAATGGGAGGCCAGGAGAAGTTCGAAGTTGTGTAGTTGGAATCATGGCTAGCCCTGCCTAAATAGGGGCCAACGGGCAAAATGAAATGAGGCCCTTTGATCATCTGCTGACGGTGAATTCTCCTGCCACCAGCTACCATACCTCTTCCTCCATTATGTATCCCAACTCGCTCCCTCATATAACTAACATGAAGAAAATTGTTCAAAATTGTTTGCCAAATCTAAGTTCGTGGGACTGCAAGCAAAAGAAGGGGAGAGAGACTAGTTTTACATAACTCTAACAAGCCTTCATCTCCCACTTTATCTCTCTTCGAGTCAGATTCTACACAAATTCAGGCCCTCCTCTTTTGCTTGCATGAAGGCAATTTACAGAAATAAAAATATAAAAAGCCCATCGAGATTCAACCCAGCTCATGAAGACTAGAAAACAAGTTAAGGGCTTTTGGATCCAGTTCCAAAAACGTAGGTTGGTTTTGGGACAAAGTCCGATTGTCAAAGAACCGACGAAGCTTAATACCATTCTTTAGCCACATTAATTAACTAATTTGACCAAAATAATAACAATCATATCCATATCTTCTAAATTCATACTTTATGAAATCATAATCGAATCGTAGAAAAATCTCGAGTGAGTCACCCAAATGTCCAACAGCTTTTCTAATTCAATTCACAAGATTCTCGAAACCATTGTTCACCAATATACTAAAACTAAGGCTAGAGTAACACAGTTAAGCCAAGCCTACTTCTCCGAAGAACGGAATTTCGGACCACTCAACGAAATCCAACATCAGGTTCTAGACCACTCAATGGAACCAAACTAAACTATGATCACCTATCGAAATGTACCAAGTACAAATACTTCTCATCGCCCCTAGAATGCGTATGGTTCCCATCGCGGATATACCAAGCAGAGCCATAGGCATAATCCCATTGTGCAAGCAAGTGATCACCCATCACAAATATATCAAGCATGATTACCCTTGAAAACATATGCTCCCTCATCGCCAATATACCAAGGAAAACCATATGCATAGTCTAATAACGTAGGCAGTGATCACACATCGCGGATAAACCAAGCATGATTATCCCTGAAATATGTATGGTCTCCCATCGCGGATATACCAAGCAGGACCATCCATGTACCTCTGCTATATGGTGTAGTCAATTCAACACACAATCTACCCTTACCTCAATCCCTATGATTTACAATATAGGCACATGCTCTATCAACTTCTCATGACTACTAATTATCTTGTCATACAAGCATAAAAGTTCTACATAATACTACGATCACATAGTCATAACATTTATCATACTTAACATTCACCTTACTAAAAAGATAATTAACACACATATATATCCCAATCATCATTAGTAGACAAGCTAAATCATGTTTAATAAACATAAGTCTATGGCTAAATATACAAAAATCATATTTCAATAGAAATCACATTTATAATACCAAGTCATATTCACAAATGATATTAATATAAGAAATTAAGGTAATAACCATATCACATATATTCAAGCCACTCTCTAACCAATGTAGGCCACTAGACTTCACTTAGTCTCCGGTAGTACTAATTTTAGTATTTAGAACGTTTCGAGACATGTTGACCAAAAGTCAACTCTCGATCAAAGGTAGGGTCCACAATTCTACAAAATTCGATCCGGCAGATCCACAAATTGGATTTTGGATCCGTAACATTCTAAAGTTCACATTATGCTTCTAAAATAACATACTTAAATTTCGTCGCGATCAGACGGTCGGATCTCTACCAATCAACAATTCTAGTGTCGCTCAATGCTTTATTTTACGAACTTACAAACTCAATTTGAGAAGATCTGCATGTTGGATTCCTGATCCATCAGTTTCTAATATCCTCAAATATTATGTACTATCACGTATTAAATTTTGATGATGATCCAACAATTGGATCATTGAATCATAAAATGATCAAGTAATGTACTTCACCATACTAGGTTCAAACTATTGAACTATATCAAACGGTTATCAATTTTGAAATTAGAACATTGAATTCAACTTAAAAAGACAGCATCGGCCCACAGGCCCTGCCCAGCCACACCTGCCTGCCGCATGTGGCGGCCGGCCAGCCAGGTTCGCCGAAAAAATCAACTATTTCCAAAAATTACCAAAATTGACATAAATAAAGATTTCAATGAGTAGAGCAAGTTTTATACCTGTGGCCAAATCCAATTTTTCCCTAAAAAGGCCCCAATTTCCCTTGAACCCGCTAGAACCCTAGAAAATGGTGTGCTTCGATTCGACCTCCATACTCACTCCGACGCCTCCACCACTGCTTGGGCTTTGTTCCTGGGGATGGGAGGAGTCTATTGGTGGTGGTCATCGAGGGTGAGGGTTGCCAGAGTGGCGGATTACCGCCATGGTGTCCCCGGAACCCACGGTTCCGTTCTTCGTCATACGGGGCCAAAACCCCGTCGATCTTGGGTGAAAAATGAAGAGTGAAGGCCGGTGAAGAGTTTCCTTGTGGTGGCTCGGTGAAACTCGTCGGGAAATCACAGGAATTTGACCAGGAACCCAACGGGTTCTGCTCTTCCGCCGGGTCGAGTTACTAGAAATGGGTACGGGATCCATGATCCCGAGCCTCTCCACTCCCTCCTTTCCCTCCCTGTTTTCCTTCTTGATTAGTCACCCTCATTCCTCTCTTCTCTCCCCATTCGTCGAGCCCCTCCTTTCTTCCTTCCTGAAACTCTCCTTTCCCTCTCTTTCGCTGCCATCAGGTAGCTTCTATATTTTTTATTTATTTTTATTAAAGAAACTTCTAAAACGTCCGTTCCTTTCTCGTCCAATTCACATACGCCTTTGTCTAAACGCTTGTGGGGTCAAGCCCATTAAAGAGCATTAAAAGTGATCCTCATAGGTCTACAGATTTAATAACTATTTTAAAAGAGGGTTATTATAAAAAATAATTTATAAGATTTGCATGATCAATAGAAATGGTTTCTAAGATTGAAAATCAATAAAAATGATCTCTAAGATTGTCTACCATCCATGATTTTGGTATTTCCGTTAAAAACTCTTTGGGCAATTTTTAAAATTTCATAACTTAATCGATTCTTAACCAAATTCGACCCATAATATATTAAAATGAAGATAAGAAAGTGTAGAACAAGATTATACCATTTGAAAGCCCAATGATTACTGAAGATGGCCGAAAAATAGACTGAAATGTGACTTGTCTTCGAGAAAACTGGAAACTTGCCAGAAACTAGGTAAACTTTAAACGTTCATAACTTCTTCAATACTCAACGAAATTGAGTTATTCAAAAAAAAAAAAATTCATACTTCTCTACGAGACGAAGAGAATGATATCTTTCTTTACTACTAATTCGTGGTTTGGCTGGAAAATTGCTCGAAAGTGGCTAACTCAAAAATGATTAGCCACTTTCGAGCCGTTATCCTGACTAAACCACAGCGAGTAGCCTTCGAAAAAGGTACAATTCTCTTTGTCTTGTCAAGAAGTATTATTTTCATTTTTGAATCACTCAATTTGGTCGAGTATTGAAGAAGTTATGAACGTTTAAAGTTTACCCAGTTTCCGGCGAGTTTTCCAGTTTTCCCGTAAACCAATCACGTTTCAGGCTATTTTCCGGCCATCACAAGCAAACATTGGGCTTTCAAATAGTTATAATCTTATTCTACACTTTCCTATCATTTTGATATATTATGGATCGAATTTGGTTAAGAAATGATTGAGTTACAAAGCTTTGAAAATTGTCCAAAATCGTTTTTAACGGAAGCACCAAAATCATAGATGTGGACAATCTCAGTGATCATTTCTATTGATTTTCAATCTCAGGGACCATTTCTATTAATCATGCAAATCTCATGGACCATTTTGTATAATAACCCTTTAAAAAATTCAAACTTTGTAATTAAGTAATTAAAATCTAAAATTAATATAAATTCTCAAAAATACTATAAAATCCCTTGAATACAAAATATGTAGATTACAATAGTGAAATCCAGGAACGGGATTTCACAATTTGTTTCCATTTTTGTCGTTTAGAGAGAGAGATAGTGATTTAAAGAGAGAAGATGAGGAAGGTCGTGTGCGTAACAGGAGCCTCCGGTTACATGGCATCATGGCCGGTGCGTAACAGGAGCCTTCGTTCTTTAAAGTCTGGGTTTTTATTGATTGACAATTCATGGCTTAGAGGCTAGCGCTGCAAGAGATGAAGAGTGCACCTATGATAATGTTTGCTAACAAAAAATTACTCGTCTCTATGCAGTATAAAAGCACTTTTCAGTTATTTCTCTTCGAAAGCCTTTCGAATGCTTTTCTAAGGAAAATTCAGATTTGTGTAGACAAAATTTTGATGTAATTTTAACACAAGCGATTCAACGTGGTAAAATAAATGTTTGTTACAAGTTACAACAATGAACTCTTATATGCTCACTTTCACTATGTACTTGACGTTGAATTGTAGACTTGTAGTTTCAACT